GCTTGTTTAGTAGTTCATTAATCATTTCTTGTTTGTTTCTTGTTTATGATTTCTTGTTGCTGGTTTCACCAAACTCATCTTTTCTTCAGCTTGACTTAAGAACTTGTCACATAAACTAGTGTCTAGCAAACACACATTTGGATTGATACCCTTTGTACTACAAGTGACATAAGGGATTGATAACCCTTATTAAGGCCTTGAAAACCTCAGTTATCATCAATCCACAGGGAGGATGTCTAATCTGCGAGAAACAACAAACTGGGAAGTAAGCAAAGTCATAAACAATAAAACGTGGCGACTTAGACTTCTCCGGTTTACTCCAATCAATGTATGATGGCATTTCCAATTAGCTTCCGGGCTATTTATCTTCATCTGTTTCTGAGAATCTCCATATAACTAGAATAGACATATGTATGATTAACCAACTCTCGTCACCTTAATCAACTAATCTCTTAGATCTAGCAATTAACTCTCGCTCTCATGCTAAACTTAAGATCATGCATTAGACATTGAATTCGTCTGCTCACATCTTCTCTATAGGTAGCTTTCGACTCCTATAGCGACTATGTTCTTCTGAAGCTAGGTACGGATGATCTGAAAAAGCAATCTCGTGGCTCTGATCGATCCTAGGCACAGAGAATAGGTCATGAATCTACCCTCATGCTTTATAAACAACTAAGAAGAGATGAGATCCAAAATATGGTCTAGAACAACAGAAATCCTAATCGATATATATGCTTGTCGATATCTTCAAACAACTTGACTCTCTGGGACTAATCTACATGATGCAATGAATGATGAAAAACATAGAAGAATGCAAAAGGAAACAGAAAAGTTAATAAGATAAAAAGGAGAAAGAACAATGGATCTGGGGAAGAATCCCCATCTCCATCGCCTAACCATAGAAAAACAGAGTTTGGTGACTCAAAATCTCATTACAGGAGCACACACCTGTTTAGGACTGCTAAACAATGTATTTATAGGTCCTAAGGTCTTCCATGTCTCATATAGGGCTTCTCTGAAGAGAAATGGCGAAGTGGGCTTTGATGTTGGGCCTTTTGGCTCGTCCTAAGGTCCACCGGGGGTGAGAGTCTTCCAGGCTAGGTAAAACATGTGATTCCCGCAGGTTAGAGTCTTCCGGGACTGGTGAACTGGTTTAACTTGTTCTCCATGTATCTTTTGATTGCACCATCGGATCTTTGTGATGTAAAGTGCTATGGAAATCTGGTTGTCTCCTCTTGATTGTCTCTAAATTTAAGATGGATCAGACGTTGGGAAGGCCTCCATTTGTTACCAAACTTCCGACGGTCTGACTCTGAGCTGAAAAAGAGGATTTCTTCCATTTTGCCATAATATTCCCTAAGTTTCCTGAAAAGAGCCTTGAAACTACAAATACATGAAAATAATAATAAAAGTTCCTAAAACTGATTAAAACTTTTGAAAAAGCATTTGAAATCAATGGTGAAAAGTGGTCAAAATCAGGTGTTATCAACTCCCCAGACTTAAGACTTTGTTTGTCTTCAAACAAAACAAGACCAAATCTGGAAAAATATCATTCAACAAAAATGAGAGGGAACTAAAAAATATCAGCAACCATACTTCTAGACCTTAAATATGGACAATGCATCAATCAGGTCAAGTCTAGAAAATTCTCACCAAAATACAAACATAACTAGTCTGTTAATCCGTCATGCGAAAATCCACACACTTAGAACTAACTTCCAGTCAACTAGCTCTTAACATTCATTAAAGGTTTCAATGGTTCTCATCAAAAGGATACTAAACAAGGCATTCAAGGTTAGGTATTAAAAGGCTTTTTAATGGTAATGCTTGATGTGTTTAGGGTTACCTTTTTCTGGAGGGGCAGGACATTATGCAAAACAGCAAGAGAGGATGGAACTGTAAATGTTCCCATAGTTTCAGTCACATTCTCCTTGCTTAAAGATTTCTGATGTCCTTTCTTCAGGTTCTACTTATAATTCCCCAGACTTGGATTTTTGACCAGGTTGTGAATCCATAACTCCTTAAGTGAATACCTATTGCATTGGCTCAAGTGATTTCGGCTTCTAAGACTCTTTTAGGCTTTTGGTTTCCTTTCCTTTCTTTATTTTTCTCTCTCTTTTTTTTCTTTTTTTTTTTAGAATGGGGAAACTTCCTTTTGACTTAGAGTCTTAGGGAGCACGAAATTTACCTTTAAGAATGAGTTTTTCTGAGGTATCATACGATTTCTGGCACACTCCCTTCTGATCTCTTTCAGTCTTTCTCTTGAGTGACTGAAAACTATGTTGTTCCTCCCGCTCTGGCGTTTTTGCACATATCTGTCAAATTAGACTTAAAAGAATGCAGGAGGTTAGAATATAAAGGTTTGGGTTAAGGGTGTGGTACCAGCTAAAGGTGAACTAGCCATCTAGGACAACAAAGAGTGGTAACAATAAGGTAAAGATGTCCTAGATGTATATCATGATGCCTTTTTAAAACCTTTGATGAGAAAATTAGATGTCAAGATTAAGTCCAAGTGGAATGAGCTAGTATATCCTGTCAGAAAAGATCTTCATGAATAGAAGTTCTCTGGTGGGATTTTGTAGTGTAAGTACTCTAGCTACCGCCTAGTCTAGTACTAAACCTTGAAAGAGCTTTCATGAGTGATTGGTGTAGAAGCAAACAGGTTGGTTATCATCATTGATTTTGTGATTATTCCCTCAAATGTAATTCACCCTTGAAAACACTTTTTTGAAACTCAAACGACTTTTGAAAAGTTTTAAGAAAAATAAAAAAAATTAAAAAAATTGCAGAATGCAAGGGCTCATGCAAGAAAAAGTGGTTAGTAAGGGATGAAATCCTCCCCCCATACTCTAATCACACTGTCCCCAGTGTGAAATAAATCAGGCAAGGATGAGAAATAGAGTATGTAAGAATTTAAAAAGATTAAGGAAGAGAGAACTTACCTGGTGTTTGTGATGGATTGTGAGGTGGTTGTGGTTGTTATCCTTGATCAAACTTGGATGCTAGGGATCCAAAACTGATTTGATCAAGATGGTGGTGGAAGTGGCCAAGGGTGGCTGGCTGGTGTGCTGGCCGCGGATGAAGACATCCCGGCCGCGGTAGGACGCGTGCTGGCCGCGGTTGAAGGCCTCGTTACCGCAGCAAAATGCTTACTGGCCGCGGCTGAACCTCCTTTGGCCGTGTCAGCTCCTTTTCTTCTTTTTCTTTTTTTTTGGTGTGTGGCATAATAAGGCCTGTCTAAAATAAAAGAAACAAAACTTTAATAGAAAAAGAAAGCTAAACAAAATCAAATAACTACCTAAATGGGTTGCCTCCCATTAAGTGCTTTGGTTTATAGTCCTTAGCTAGACTTTACAAAGAAAAAGATTTATTTCAAATTGGATCTTGTTTTAAGACAAGTCGTTTTCAAAATCCTCCTGTTTTGTCTTTCAGGTTCTTCATCACTCGAGAGTTCTTCTGATTTAAATGTCTGGGCTTTATGCTGTTGGGGTCGGTTTTCACCCCAAGTAGATAAACCACCTTAGAATGGCTAAGTATGGAAGAAAGATAAGTGGGAGAGCCGTGGTCGCCAAGTGGGAGAGCCGTGCTGGCCAAGTGGGAGAGCCGTTCTCACCTTGACAAGTGGAGAGCCGTTCTCACCATGACAAGTGGAGAGCCGTTCTCACCATGACAAGTCGAGAGCCGTTCTCACCATGCAAGTGGAGAGCCATTCTCGCCAAGACGAATGGGAGAGCCGTGCAGATAGGCCAGTGGGGAGAGCCGTGAAAGAAGACAGGTGAACCGAGCCGCATCGAAAGAAATGGGCCGAGCCCCACTTCAACATGTTTGGGCCGAGCCGTGTATCGGTGCGGTGGGCTAGATCATGTCTCCATGGCCAGTGGGCCGAGCCGTGAAGGAGGCTAGATGGGCCGAGCCGTAAAGAAGCATGGATGGGCCGAAGCGAAGCCTTGAGAGGTGAAGCCCATGGAAAACCCTAGGCGAGATGCAAAGGCGGTCAGCCGCACGAGGCGATAAGGAAATATTCCGAAAATCTCGCCCGAGATTTTCGGCTAGGCGGTTTAGAAAGTTAGTATAAATATATGATGTATGTAATTCATTCCGCCAACTCTGGCAACCCTAAGCAACAAAGACTAAACACTTACAGCAATAAAATCCTCTTTTGATCTTACTGTTCTTTCGATTATCCTAGAAGTTTCAGATCCCTTAGTTTCTCTTCACAAATTCTTGGTTGTGCGAGTTTTGGCTCACACAATTTGGCGCTGTCTGTGGGGAATCGAAACTTTCTTACTCTAAATCGACGAGACTTTAAGATCCGAAGAACATGGTGAGCAACACCCCCGACGACAACAATAACAACACCGGTAACGGCGCGGAGAAGGACAGCTCCAGCATCAGGCACAACGACGGCGACGACCGAAACCCACGAGGAGATGCGATACATGATAGCTGCGTTGATGAAAAAAATTGATGACCAAGACAAAAGAAACGAGGCGATTACGGCGAGGCTCGACGCGATGGCGGCTGAGCGACAACACTCGACTTGGAGAAGCCGGAATTCCCGACCCGATGGACGGAATTTGGAGACGCTTCGATTTCTCGACACCCGCAGAAGCCTCGGGGAGTGGCGCAAGAAATTCCTCGTTTCTTCGTCCCCTTGACAAACGTACTCCCGCAGCAACCCGAATCAACATGACCGAGCCGCCTCCACTACGCCGGAACTCCAAGCAACGAGCCGGTGAGGAAGGGGGCGATGCGATCGACGTAGACGCCCAGCAGAACGACGAGACCATGAATCCGCAACAAACTGGCTCGGCTCGCCGAATTAGTCAGGAAGAACTCGCCTCGGCACTGAACGGCATCCGGACTAACGAAGTCTCCGATCCAACCCGCGGCGATAACCCAACCGAGATGGAAGAAAATCTCCAATGGATCGAGCAGGCAGAACGCGAAGACGAGCCGAGGCGAGAGGAGCGGGAGCGACCCCCCAATCAAAGGGAATGACTCACGCACAAACTCTCGAGCTCAAAGAGCTGCGAGCCTCTATGGCTCGGACAGTGGCTGAAATACGCGCCATGAAATCTCAAGTGCACAACGCGACAAGTGCCGCGCCCGAAATCGACCGAATGCTTGAAGAAACTCAAAGAACCCCGTTCACTGCAAGAATCACGGAGGCCAGGATTCCCGAGCCGGGGAAGGTGAGAATCCTGTTCTACGAAGGAACAACCGACCCGAAAGCACACATCACCGCTTTTCGAATAGCGATGGGACAAGCCTTCACAAAGAATGCCGCTAAACTCACCGAACGCGAAGTAGATGCCGGATACTGCCTGCTTTTCGTGGAGCATCTCAAGGGAGCCGCGCTCGAATGGTTTTCGAGGGAGGAACGCAATTCTATCGGCAGTTTTCAACAGCTCTCCGCTTTGTTCCTTAAACAATACTCGATGTTTATGGACAGAGGAACATCTGATGCCGACCTGTGGACACTATCCCAAGGACCGAATGAACCGCTTCGGGATTATATGGAACGATTCAAGGCAGTCGTATCTAAAATAGAAGGGATAAGCGACAAATCTGCGCTCGAGGCTCTGAAACGATCTTTGTGGTACAAATCCGAGTTCCGCTGGGAGATGGCTCTCAATACGCCGCAAACAATTCAAGACGCGTTGCACCGATCATCAGACTTCGTCGTAAACGAGGAGGAAATGAAAAACTTGGACGAGCAGTACGAAGCCACGAAAGCAGCGATCCAAAGCTCAATTTTGCCGCGCCCCGCGAAGAAGGGCAATCCTTCGAGCAATGCAACAACGCAGAGTTTGGATGAACCTAGGAGCGGAGGTGCCCATAACTACCAGGTCAGCTCCGGACGCGGAAGAGGAGAGCCGCGCAACAACACTTGGGTGAGAAAGTCCGCCAACTACGACGAGAAGGCTTTCTGCGAGTATCACCAGACCTATGGACACTCAACGGCTCAATGCCGAACTCTAGGAGCAAAGCTCGCAGCAAAAATTGCAGCAGGAGAGCTCCAAAACGCGGTCAGCCTCAAAGACCTCGTCCCTAACGAACAACAAGAAAAAGCCGAGCCGAGCGGCGCGGCGGAACCAGCGAATCCTCCCCGACGAGGCGATAATCCCAAGCGCGACAGGAGAGGCGAACCTGAAGAGCGACCTGAGCCGAGGCAAAGGATCAATATGATCATGGGTGGATCTCAATACTACCAAGATACCGTGTCCTCCATCAAAGCCTATCAGCGTCGAGCCGAAGCAAAGGAGAATTGGACAGAGCCAACCGACATCCCAAACACAGTGATCTCTTTCGCCGAGGAGGAAATGGCAGGAATCGATCGACCTCACAACGATCCGTTGGTGATTGAGCTAACGATCAGGGATCATGATGTAGCAAGGGTGCTCATCGATACTGGAAGCTCGGTGAATGTCATCTTCAGGGAAACACTCAGAAGAATGGGAATCGACCTCTCCGAGGTGGAAGCAATACCCAAACCTCTAACCGGATTTTCAGGAGACGACGATGACTATGGGAACGCTCAGACTTCCCGTGGTAGTTGGCGGAGTCACTAAGATCGTCGAATTCTGCGTCACGGACCACCCAGCAATCTACAATGTGATCATGGGAACTCCCTGGATCAACGGGATGCGGGCAGTACCCTCCACTTACCATCTCTACCTCAAATTCCCAACTCCATCGGGCGTCAAAACGATCTGGGGGAATCAGAAGGAATCACGAATGTGCTGCCTAGCCGAGCACAAACTGAGGAACCCCGTCACCGACGCACGAGCTGACATAGACCGCAAAAAGATGAAGACAGACAGAGAGCCCGCGAACGAGCTCTCCAAACTCTTATAGCAATTACAGATCGCGGAGAGCCGCGAAACACGCACCGAGCCGATATGTGACGCATTGGACTCGGTGTGCATAGACGAGGCGCATCCGGAACGGTGCGTCGAAATTGGAACACAGCTAGGAGAGCCCCTGAGAAGCAAGCTCCTTTCCCTCCTCAAGGAAAACATCGATACCTTTGCCTGGACGGCGGAAGATATGCCAGGCATCAGCATCGATGTAACCTGTCACGAGCTGAATGTAGATCCGACCTTTAAACCAGTCAAGCAGAAAAGAAGAAAGCTTGGTCCAGAACGAGCTAAAGCAGTCAACGACGAAGTCGAGAGATTACTCAATGTAGGATCAATCGCCGAGGCCAAATATCCGGACTGGCTCGCGAATCCGGTGGTTGTAAAGAAGAAGAATGGCAAGTGGCGGGTCAGTGTGGATTTCACCGATCTCAACAAGGTGTGCCCAAAAGACAGCTTTCCCTTGCCACAGATCGATCGGCTCGTCGAAGCCACTGCAGGAAATAAACTGTTAACATTTATGGATGCATTCTCCGGCTACAACCAGATTCTGATGCACCCTGACGGCCGGGAAAAAACAGCATTCATAACTGATCGCGGGATATCTTGCTACAAGGTCATGCCATTCGGACTCAAAAACGCAGGAGCAACATATCAACGGCTCGTCAACAAAATGTTTGCGGCTCAGCTCGGAAAAACTATGGAGGTATACATCGACGATATGTTAGTCAAGTAACTTGAGGAGGAAGACCACGTCGCGCACCTACAAGAATGTCTCGAACAGCTGAACAAGCACAACATGAAGCTAAATCCAGCGAAGTGCAGGTTCGCGGTCACCTCGGGAGAACTCCTCGGCTATCTGGTAACCCACCGGGGCATAGAAGCGAACCCCAAGCAGATTAAGGCGTTAATTGAGATGCCCTCTCCAAGGACGAAGCGTGAAGTTGCCGCGCTAAACAGGTTTATTTCCCGTTCCACAGACAAATGCCTGCCCTTCTACGACACCCTCAGAGGGAACAAGAAATTTGAATGGGACGAACGATGCGCGACGGCTTTCCAGGAATAGAAGACTTATATGGCAAGCCCACCAATCTTAGCAAAACCGGTCGAAGGAGAGCCGCTCTTCCTCTACATCGCGGTGTCTGCTACAGCTGTAAGTGGGGTACTAATCAGAGAAAAACGATCCAAGCAAAAACCCATTTTCTACATCAGCCAGACGCTGACCGACGCCGAGACCCGCTACCCCCAGATCGAGAAGGTCGCCCTAGCCGTCGTAGTCTCAGCTCACAAGCTGCGCCCATACTTTCAATCGCATTCGATTGTTGTCCTCGCCACACTTCCGCTGCGCTCGATCCTGCACAGCCCAAGCCTATCCGGTCGGCTCGCCAAGTGGGCCATAGAGCTCAGCGAATACGACATCGAGTATCGAAATAGGTCGTCTGCAAAATCACAAGTGCTCGCTGATTTTCTCATTGAACTCCCGGCCGAAGCAACAAATGAGCCAACTCTAGACGAAGTATTGACATTGCACGTCGACGGCTCGTCATCTAGACACGGCTCGGGGATAGGAATCCGCCTCACCTCTCCCACCGGAGAAATATTAGAGCAGTCTTTTTGCCTGAACTTCCACGCCTCGAATAACAAAGCAGAATACGAAGCACTGATCACTGGCATACGACTAGCGCAGGGAATCGGGGTTTGAAAGATAAGGACTTTTTGTGATTCACAGCTCGTAGCATGCCAGTTTAACGGAGAATATGAGGCAAAGGATGGACGAATGGGAGCTTACCTCAAGGTGGTTCGAGAGTTGGTGCGAAAATTCGACGAGTTCGACCTCACGCGAATTCCCCGAGGAGAAAACACCTCGGCTGACGCTTTGGCAGCACTCGCTTCGACCTCAGACCCAGATCTCTGACGGACGATCCCAGTCAAATTCATCGAACGTCCTAGTATCGAAGAAGTGGGAGGCGTTCGGTTAATAAATCCTCCTGAACAAGAACCAGAGGACGACGAAGCCATTCCAATGGAAGAAGACGCCTCACCTGCCGAGCCGGAATACGGTTGCGACAAAGAATGGCTCGGAGCTATCCGAATGTACATCGCCGATGGAGAGGTGCCAACTGACAAATGGGAAGCCCGCAAACTAAAAGCTCAGGCCGCACGTTACGTCCTCGTCGATGGCGAGGTGTTTAAATTGAGATTCTCAGGGCCTCTTATGACATGCGTCGAAGGACCGGAGGCAAGAAAGATCATGCACGAGGTGCACAGCGGCGCGTGCGGGAACCACTCCAGCGGAAGGTCTCTCGCTATCAAGATAAAACGGCACGGCTACTTCTGGCCCACGATGATCAAGGACTGCGAGAAATTTACGGCTAAGTGCGAGAAGTGTCAGCGGCACGCCCCGACGATTCATCAACCTACCGAGCTGCTCTCGTCGATTTCGTCGCCTTATCCGTTCATGAGATGGTCCATGGACATCGTCGGACCTCTACATCGCTCGAAGCAGAAGCGTTTTCTGCTCGTCCTCACGGATTACTTCTCCAAATGGGTCGAAGCCGATTCCTATGCAAGCATAAAGGATGCTCAAGTCGAACACTTTGTCTGGAAAAATATCATCTGCCGACACGGGGTCCCCTACGAAATAGTCACGGACAACGGATCCCAGTTCATCTCAACACGCTTCGAAGCCTTCTGCGAGAAGTGGAAAATCCGCCTCAGCAAATCCACGCCAAGATACCCCCAAGGGAACGGACAAGCTAAAGCAGCCAACAAAACAATACTCGACGGTCTGAAAAAGAGGCTCGACGCCAAGAAGGGACGATGGGCAGACGAACTCGAAGGAGTCCTTTGGTCTCATCGGACAACTCCACGCCGAGCCACCGGGGAAACTTCATTCGCTCTGGTCTACGGATCGGAGTGCGTAATTCCCCCCGAGGTGGATTTCCCAGGTATTCGACGAAGACTTCTATCAGGGAAGGAGGGATTGAACCACTTAATGATGCTAGATGAGCTCGACCTAATCAACGAAAAGTGCGACCAAGCCCTAGTTCGAATCCAGAACTACCAACAAGCAACGGCGCGATACTACAACAAAAACGTTCGTAGTCGAAGATTCAAAGCAGGGGAGCTCGTCCTCCAAAAGGTCTTCCAAAACACAGCCGAGAAGAACGCATGAAAGCTCGGAGCAAATTGGGAAGGTCCTTACAAAGTCACAAAAGTGGTTCGTCCAGGAGTCTACGAACTCACGACACTAGCTGACAAAGCGATTCCAAGATCATGGAATGCAATGCATCTAAAGAAGTATTATCACTAAAACCACAGCACGGCCAGCATGAACTACGGGATGGCTTGATCCCTGCAAAGGGTACGTAGGCAGCCTGTCTTCGGACGGGTTCAGCTGTCCCCCCTCCTAAAAGGGGGGGGGGGAGTGGGTACGTATACACATACCTCCTTTAACTCTATTATTTTGACTTGCCCATTTAGGAACGTCGCCACTTCGGCATATTCTCAGTTCGTTTTTAATCATCTACTTATTTCACTTTTACCCTTGATTTCTGGTTCGTTTATTATCACTTCGGCTAGCTTCACATTGTAACAATTTCACCACTTCGGCATGATATCATGACCTGATTACCTCGGACCTTTAACGGTCCTCAATTTCATTTCGGCAAACTAAGCCTTCGAACGCCTCGTCTCGTTGCTGGCCACAACGGGGCAACAAGTACAAAGTTCTCTAAACGGACTTTTACCACCTTTTCTAGGACGAGGGTGCAAGTTACATCCTCTACAGATAAAAATTAAAGCGCACTATACAAATATCAGACCAAAAACGTATCAGGTCGCCACGGTTTACTATCGCACTCGAGAATATAAGTCGAGACTACATCGCTTTCTCTAAAACCGATGTAAAACTCTTAAACCCGGATAAACATACTCGAGAACACCGGTCCTTAGACAGGTTTGATAACACTTCATCCTTGGCTATCAAAAGCAAAACGCCTCGTCATTTTCACGACTCGGCACCACTCGAAACGAAACGCCTCTTCGTTTTCACGGCTCGGCACCATTCAAAGCAAAACGCCTCGTCGTTTTCACGGCTCGGCAAAACTCGATACAAAACGCCTCATCGTTTTCCCGGCTCGGCACCATTCAAAACAAAAACGCCTCGTCGTTTTCACGACTCGGCACCACTCGAAACAAAACGCCTCGTCGTTTTCACGGCTCGGCAACATTCAAAGCGAAAACGCCTCGCCGTAAACACGGCTCGGCATTACCAGCAAAGACTTGCCTAAACATTATCGCGTAACGCTCTTTTACTATCAAAAATTCATCTAGAACCTAAACGAGGTCCTTAAAACAATTCATCCCTTAGCCCATGTTCCGGTCAATTTCGAAAATACAGTAAAGGAAAAAATCAACATAACAACCTCCGTCCTTGACAATTTTTCGTAGACATTTTTGCGAATTAATGGACAAGTAAGTCCGAAAACGGCTAAGGAAAATATATCCATTAAGCAAAAAATAAAGAGTCGGGTGGATAAAGCCATCCAGGCACAAAACACATAAAAGTTCAAAAGAGAGCGGATAAAATCCTAAGTACAAAAGCAAGCAAGAAAAATTTGTGAGCCAAAACTCATGCCGCGGAGTGCGTTTCACGATCGGCGAGAAGGTTCGAGGGAATCGGCGTACCCGCGTTTGGGTCCACAACGCCT